CCCTGGTACAAAAAAAAAATGATGCTCAACACTTCAACTTTATTAGTCATAGGGAGATGTGAGTTTATATCACATTGGGATATACACATTTACTCACTTCTAGAATGTCTTAGAGAGCTGACAATACTAAATGGTGATGAGGATCTGAAGCAATTTATACTTTCAAACATTGCTTCAAGAATATTGTGACAAGAGAAAAAGGTACAGCTATCTTAGCAATTGATGTAGTGGATTCTCATACAGTTAAACATKCACTTTCCATAGTAATTTCATCCCCTTTCTAGTAATTTAACAATGCAAAATAAACTTCTGCGTTCACAGAAAATCTTGTATGTTAATGTTTAGAGCAGCTTTATTTGTAAACACCAAACGAACTTCAAGCAAACTATTCTTCAACCAGGGAAAGAATGGGTAAACCGAAGCACATCCATTCAATACAGTGCTTCCCAGTAATGTACTGGGAAAAACAGTCATAAACACTGTGAATGCATCTCCAAAGCTTCCACTAAGTGAAACAAGCTAATCTCAAAGGATGACAACTGTGTGTGTAATTTGGAAAGGGAAAAAGGGAACTATGGGAACAGAGAAGGAAAAATGGATCAGTAGTCAACAGGGATTGGGGTAAGAAAAGGTGTTGTATGCAAAGTAACACTGTGTTATTTATAGGTGAGGGTAAATTTTCTAAATCTTGATCTTGTTGGTGATCCACAATCATTTATTTGTCAAAATTCACAGAATTGTATTCTAAAGCAGGTAATTTCTTTTGTATCCAAAATTTATCATTTTTACGTAAGCTTTTCCAAATATTCAGAATATAAACCTTGATTTTTTATAAAGAATATATACATAATTCACCATTTTAGTAATAAGTAGCTCTTTCAAATAGTATAAATTCTGTTAGAAATATTTTATAGTCATTACTCAATTTAAATTTTATCAACTTTTTGTTAATATTGTTCATATATTTTCCTGTTTATTTATTTTAAATTAAATTTTTATTAGAGTACTTTTAAATTTTTTAAAAATATGTGTTTTAGTTGTAGATAGACACAATGCCTTTATTTTATTCATTTTTATTTTTATGTGATGTTGAGTATGAACTCAGTGCCTCAAGCRGGCTAGGAAAGAGCTTTACCACTGAGCCACAAACCCAGCCCTTTTTAAAAATTTTTGTGTCCTGCTGGAGTTTGAACCTATGATTTCACAATCATTCAGTTGCTTGGCAAATACCCTACAACTTTAGCCTAAGTATTATTATCTGCCTATTTGTACATCAACTTATAATTTTTTGTATCTACATAAACAAAGATATTTATAGAACAACATTCAACTAAAATAAGTTGTTAATAGTGAAATTTAATATGACATCTCTTTTTGGGTACCAGGGATTGAACCCATGGGTGCTTAACCTCTGAGCTATATCCCCAGTCCTCTTTAATTTTTACTTTGAGGCAGGGTCTTGCTAAGTTGCTTAGGGCCCTGCTATGTTACTGAGGATGATCTCGAACTTGCAATCCTCCTGCCTCAGACTCCTGAGCTGCTAGGATGATATTCTCATTTTAGATTATTTTTCATCATTTACATTATCTATGATGGTGATGTATTCTTTTTTTAATCGAGGTTTGTTTTTGTTTTATTTTTTTAAAACAAAAAAAAACTTCAACAAAAGCGAGAGAAGGTYAAAATGTTCATTTAGTAAGAAGGATATAGATGTCAGAATTGTTTTAAAAATGTTTTCTAAGAGCACCATGACACTGCAATGACCTGAAAGACAATTGTGGTCTTGTAGGGTATAAAGTGATGAACTGCTTCTCAATTACTAATGACAAGATAATAATGTCCTCTCAGCTCAGTCCCCGCAATATAGATTCAGCTTCTAATGGACCATTATAAGGATATCAAAGTTGTCATGCTTTCAAAATCATAACTCCTAGGTTGTTTAAGTAATTTGGCAAATAGCATCTTTCTTCAATCTTTGGTGTCTTTTAAAGGTCAGATATCAAGCCTTCATAAATATTGATGAACCTGAACAGATTATGTTCAAATGGTGTGCACTCTTTTCACAGACAGGTCATCTCTTTCCTCTTTTATTGCAGCTAAGTCTCTCAGGATCGTGGGTTAAACATACATCAACTTAAGACTCAAACCCAAAGAAGTAAAAACACAAAAAGGTAGTAAAAAAATTTGTGTTTATTTTCCCATATACTTCATTAAAAAAGGTACAGTTTTATTAGTAGTACATTAATTAACTGAAAGAATGAAGTGACAAGTTTTTGTCACAGATATTAATTTACATTTTACAAACATCCACCAAAACAATTAAAAACGAAATAAATATATTTACATTTTTGTATTTCTGATATTTCCATTGCATTTTAATATGTATAAAATATATAATATTTATAATATTTTATTTATCTTTAAAAGTAAATTATAATGTGCAAAGAAGTGACATGATGATTTTAAAGTAGTAGGYCATAAGAATAAATCATAAACATCAATTTTAGAGGTATGGATAAAGCGATTCCTTAAGGAGAGCTCATGGAATACAGCATTATTAATAGTAGCAAAAATGTTTATTCTTAATACTGGAACATCGACACTTACCTTAAAAAGTTAAGCACAAGATTGTCCTTGTGCTTTTAAAGCTTCTCACACACTGCTGATTTCTAGCAGTAATTCTAAATTATTGTTAGGATTATTACTTTTCCTCAGTAATAAATCAAGTTCCCTTACATCCGGCATTCAACAGAGACAAAGTTTATGAACAAGCTTTGTCACTGTAAATGAGAGAAATGTGGATCCATAAACTAATGCACCCAAAGGAAAATTGCTCTGCTTGCTAATATGGACCTGGCCTTTGTTGCCAAGGAAATGAGTTTTGTCTTGATGAATGACAGTTTTTATGAGTGAAGATTTTAAAACAAGAAGTTGGCACATGCCTGAAATATGGGGAAGAAATGCCTAGCTGAATGTTCTCCCTTTAAAACTAAGGTTGGATGGAAAAAAACATTGTGGCAAGTATTGGGGAATACCTTACGTTTATATTATCTGTTAAAATATTTTAAAATAAATACTTGTTGCAATATAACAAATGTAAAGCATACCTGATTTAATGATTTGATTTGTTATTTTTTCATCARGCATAAGACATTATTACCTTAGTTAACAATTTTCAAATGATTTTGAACTCCCTTCTTTGACCTATGCACCTGTAATAGTCTCCTTTAAGCTCGTACTATGTACACTGCAATGAACCATTTAAAGATTACCCTGAACACGCACATACCCACACTCGAGCCCATAACACACGTGCACACACAAACATACCTACACATACCAAGGCACTGGAGGGGTTAACACATAATGAAGCCTTGTATTGTTAAAATTTGGCCAATGTGCAAACCAGGATGTTATGGATGAATCTTATGCATCTAAGCCTAAATTTCATGAGAAATAGAAATTTGTATTTTTGCTCAGCTTTCTCATTCAAGTTGTCCAAGTCATAACAAATAACAATAGTTAATCACACTGAAAATAAAACATGAAATATCAGTTGCCAAATTAATGAAAATCAGAATAGTATTTTCTTATTGGTGGCTATTTCATGATTAGTCATATTAAATGGCAATTTAGRCCTGTTTTTTTAATTAATAGTATCAAAACTAACAACAATAAAGATAATGGAATAAATTTTAATTTGATCTATAATTTACAATGTGACTTAAAGCATAATAAGTCAACATATACTAAACATATGCTTTCAATTTGTGGTCAGATTTTTTCCCATATATATGTATACATATGCACACACACATACACAGATATATGTGTGTGCATGTGTGCTAATGGTGGACAAAGACAAAACTCCTATATATTTCAGTGTACAACTTGCCTATCATCATCTACATGAGCATGAGATAGATTTTCCTGACACAACAAAGGATATTTACTTATTTTTTCGCATTTTAAAATGGGATTTTTATAAAAATTTGAAATGATTCTTACTTATTCTATAACTCATGTAAAATTTAAAAGTTTGTTTTTCTTATTTTTCTTTTTAGATGACCAGCACATTTCCTGTGGCATCAACACCTGCTCTTCCTGCTGTGGGCACACTGGGGTCACCTCAATATGAGGCATATTGCAATTTAATTCTAGTTAGTAGCAGAAGTTCTATTGTGAGCCATCTGCCACTGCTTAGAAACTGAAGGTGGACACTTCTCTCTACTTTCCCCGGGCTTCAAATTTTATTATGACTATTGTATTTGATCAATATATGAGCAGTAAATCCAATGTGCTATCCTCCTTGTAGATATTAATTCAGTTTTATGGTAAAAATAAATTATATTAAGACATTATTATATTTATCACAGTTCTTTTGATAAAGTATCTTAGATCTAACAACATTTTCTCAGGTCCAACTATCCACCTTCACTTTTTCTTTTCCATTTAATATATTTAAGAATTATCAGATATAAAGTTAATAAATTTCTAATGACACTGAAAACAGGTTGATGACTTTTTTAATTCAATGGATGTTTGTCCTTTAAACAATTTTTTGTCTCTTTCCTGAGTGACACATTTTCTCCTATTTAAAAAAAAGAAAGAAAAGTAAGCCATTTTTTAGATGCTTGGTAATTTTGAGAGGAAACATTGTTTCATAGGGTAAAGGTGTGTTAATTAAAAATTTATTTTTTAGCTATGAAATAAGCAGCTTCTAGTTTAAAAGCAGATGTCAATAAAGCTATAATGAAGGTCAGAGAGTGTTTTCCACTTTCTACAACTGGACTCTGAGTTGTGGGTGTGCACCTCCAATGCTTTCAAATTTTCAGCTCTGCACTTTTAAAATTCTAAAACAAGACAACCAAAAATAACCTGCATAATTTCATGACAGAAAGAAAGAAAGAAAGACCATTTCCAATTTTAAACTAAGTACCATGGTTTTCCAGGAATGAATAACAGAATTTTCCTATAAATAAAGTCTGAGCATAGATATAAATTTTAAATTTAATTGTCAAATCTCACCTTATGTTCTCATAAAATATTACTCCAATGGAAAACTCTTGTACAGCTAACATAGTTAATAGCTTTGAGACTTCTTTGTAAGGATTTTTTCAGTCCATGATTGGTAGAGTCAGGGTTACAAAGAATTTCTCTTACATCGTATTTGTTGATATTATTTTCTCTACAAAAGTTCTTAGGGTCACTGAAAATTTATGAAACTGTAATTTGATAATAAATCTCCTTAGGTAAAATATAAATCTGTTTAAAATGAAGGAACGAACAAAGAGATTCACAAATGTTTCCATCATACATAATMAAATTAATACATTTTGGCATATTTGGTGGATACTGGCAAATTTATAAAACATTTTCAATAACATTGATTCGAGGGAGACACAGCTAATTTCACATTGTGCCTGTCATAGGTCAATGTAATTATCATWATGCAGTTCTTGAGGATATTTTACAACAAGATAAAGAAAATCAGAGTGCCAGTGCAGAATCATGGAGTAAGAATACAAGGAGAAATTTACATTAGCAAATTAAAGTGCTTCTCTCTTTTGATGATTTTTTTGCATGCTCCTTGCTGTCATTTTTATTTTTTAGCCTCTTTACACCCATAATACAATGACAGGGCAGGGGTTCATGATCTGGCCCAATATGTATTTGTCATACAAAATAATCTAAAATACAGAAATAACCATTTAGTTATTATTTTTATTTATAGGTAGCTTACAACTTTTTTATATTATTTACATACATCTTCATACCATTCATTTCTTGATCTTCACATTTGGTGAAAGCAGTATGTGGATACACATCAACCAAGTGAGAACAGGCTGTCTTCTTCATCTAGGATTATTTACAGATGCCTTCCAGGATAGAAATGCATTTGAGATGAGTCATGGCCATCTTTTTTTTCTGCTGAAACTTCAATCTGATTCCATTGTTGACTTGGTGATATCATGGTTTCTCCAGGGAGTAAAATGATGAATATGTTTAGTCTGTTTATCTAGTTGGGGTAACTGTCAGTTCGGAAATCAGTATGTCAAGTTGTGTACTTTGCTTTGCTTGTAGTAGCAGAGCTGGCAGCAGCAGAAGCAGTAGCCTGATTGCCTAAAAATAGAGGGTCCAAACAAGCTACTTTGGCAGCAAAGAATGAATGAATGCAGTGAAGAACAGCAAATAAATTTGAAAATTCCAGCTCCTAAAAGGGAAAGAGAAATAAAAGAGCTAAAATGGAAATAAAATTCATTGAAAAATTGGGAAAATTAGGCATTTTTTAATTGCAATAAAAATTCTTTGAATCGATGATATTTTATGCATGAAAGGTAATTTCTAATGTAGATATTTTTGGTCAGTATGTAAATATCCTATTATAGATATATTGAAAACATTGTGGAAAAAAAGTTGGGAAGATTAAGTATTCTCATCACCCATGTATGTAATTTCAGGTTTGATRAACACTGAATAGAAATATATCTCACAAGGTTGGGTTTTACTCTTCATAATAGATTTTAAAAGATRATATCAGGGGCTGGGGATGTGGCTCAAGGGGGAGGGCACTCGCCTGGCATGCATGGGAYRCTGGGTTCGATCCTCAGCACCACATTAAATAAAATAAAGATGTTGTGTCCACCAAAAACTAAAAAWTAAATATTAAAAAATTCTCTCTCTCTCTTTAAAAAAATATGATATCATAWATTTTTTTGTGACAAACCAACATTAGTCTCATAAATATATTTTAATTCCAAGAGGTTTGAGAGGTTTGAGAGAATACTAGTACATTTATATGCTTAATAAAGTTAATATGAATGAAGCACTTACCACAATGAAGATAACTAATGGATAATAAACCATGAAATTATAGATAAATTTTCTGTTCTTTCATTATATACTCTTAATAAAGGATGCACAATTAAAATTCATTCACCCACTACTTATAGTGTTTGTAATTTATAGTATGTGGCAGTAGAAAATAATACAAAATAGGGAGTCAATTAGAAATCATTATAGCATCTCTTATGTAACATAGTTATTTAAATAAAACAATTCACCCAGGAATTTTTTTTTCATGTCATTAAATAGAAGCTAAGAAAAGCATAGTGTGTAGACCTGCATGATGTTGCAGATAAAACTATGTTGCCTTAGTAATTCCTTTCAGACCTTTAGGATTTCTTAGCTTGTGKCCTATGGCAAATAGTGATTTATTTTAGAAAATAGCCAAGACTATTTATTTAACTGTTTTATTGTCTAAAATTCTTCCATCAAAAATCATTTTACTAACTCCACCATAATTTAGGAGCTTTTTTTCATTTATCCACTTCAGGAGTACCGATGATGCTATTTGTAACCCGAAAGGTTTCCTCTTGCCTTTACTCCCTCACCCAGGAATCCCTCCACTCACACTGTCATCCTTTGTGTGGCCAGCTTCATTCCCACACAGACAGATACTTTCTGTGTCAACCCATTCTAAGTTCATCTGATACAAAAATRGTTGAAAAGTCTTGGGACATGGAAGATAACCTTAGAACAGGCAATTCATTCTCGGAGAGGAGRAGAATGTTGTTAAATGTTACAATGAGGCAAAAGTACTGTAACAAATAACATTTTTTCAAAGTCATTCTATGCCATCTTTATGAAATTGGAGAATATACGTTGTTTACCAAAAAAATCCCAGATGTCCAAATATCAAGGCTTTTTTTTTACATAAAAATTAAGGTTTTAAATTTTTCTTTCCTTGTCAATTAGTCTCAATAACTTAATGTTCATTGAGACTTTTTACACCATTTTTTTGGGAGGATGGTAGACAAAAAACAAACAAGTAACTAGAAGAGAAAACAAGAGATTTAAAGTTGGCCTTGGATCCAGTGCCAACTCATCTTTCCTCTGCCTCAGTAGCCAGCTTGGGCAAGTGCACACTTTCCTAGGGATTCAGTGATCACCTCCAGGCAAATCCATAACAGTGAGTTACTACTCTTTTACTCATTTCTAGTGAATTTTAAAGCTACATTTCTGTCCATCTGTGAAATATCCACAGAGGGTTTCCACAAAGTTATGCATTATAAACTTTCAATTAGTTTTTTTTTTTTTTAAATCTTGATCAACTCTGTGAATCTCATTAGGTAAAAGCTAGCTCCAAATTTTAAGTGCTCAGTCATCCATTCATTCAAGGCATGTTTTCAGAGAGCTTCCTATACATTCGTTACTTTCTTTTGATGAAAAATATAGCAGCAAACAAAACAGACAACAAAGAAATAAAACAAAACAGATGGGAGTTAACATTCTTGTGATGGGAGGAAAAAAAACAGGGAAAAATATCATAAGTGAAATAAGCCAGTCCCCAAAACACCAAAGGTCAAGTGTTTTTGTTGTTWTGAGGAAGCTAAACCACAATAAAGGGGGAGGGGAGAAGAAAAAAGAAATTCAGTATATTAGAAGAAGGGTAATGAAGAGAAAGGAGGGAGGGATATGAATGGGAAAGAGAGTAGAATGAATCGGACATAATTTTCCCATGTACATATATAAAAATACMTAGGTGAATTCCACCATCAAGCTCACCCGAAAGAATGGCGACCTAATTAGAATAAGATATAGTTCATGCTTATATATTTTATCAAAATGGATTCTATTCTCATGTATACCTAAAAAAAAACAAATAAAAACAAATTAATATAATATCAGAATGTGCTATGTTCAGTCAAGGAAATAAGGCAGGACATTGAGTAAATATTATGTTAGGGGCTATGGGACAGGAAAACCACAATGTCATGTGAGCAAGTCTTGAAGGAAGAAATAAAAAGAATGAAACATTTTGATATTTCTCAGAAAATATTCTAGGCAGGAGAAGTATGATTTCAAAGATCCTGAGGTAGATATATTCTATTCTAGGAAGCTTGAAGAAAAACATGGGTCACGATAGGTAGAATGCAGTAGTTAGTGAGTAATTGGCAGGAATAAAATTCAAAGGAAGAGAGAAGAGAGGAAGAGAAGAAATATTTTGAATTTATGTTGGGTTATCACAGTATTAAAGAATTTTGACTTAAAAATGTTTTACTTAATGATTTATTAATTTCGGTATAAATTTGGAAGTATCTGTATCAGTTTCAGTTCTTTTTATGGTTTTAGAATGTATCCCCAAAGAATATAAGGGTAGACTATTGCATACTAATTTCCCAAACCTTTGAGAAAGATTCTTGATGCTGCACAAAGATCCATTTCTCTGCTCTATTTAAGGAAAAAGTCTTCTCCAAAGAGATAGTTTCTAGCCTCTACTTCTTTTCCACTAAATCTTTCAAGAACTCATTCCTAAGAATATTTTGCTTCTACTTCTCCACAAAAAATTATATCATAAAGTATAATTAAAAAATCTGTTAAGAGTAACAACATGTAAGGCAGAGGATACGTGTGATAGAAGGCAGATGAGTTAATTTGTATGATTAGATTTGCTTTTTAATCAAAATTCTAAATAATTTCTAGGTATTGATTTAGGCATAATATCTATAATTTTCTTACTCCTCAGAAAATTCTAATGACTTTCAGAGTCCACTATAAGGACAACAAACAGTATCATTCAGAGAATCCAATAATTTAGTCACCACCTACATTTTCATACCTTCTTCTCACAGTTTCACAGTCATAACCCATTCAGAGAATAATTCAAGTATAAATTAAATCTTCTATAGTATAAACAGAACATTAAAATCACTGGGAAATTTACATTTTATAAATTCCTTGTCTAATAAAACTATTATTTTTCCCTTCTGACTTTTGATTTCAAGTCTTTCTTTTCCGTATCACAAGCTTCTCTTTCATTTCCATTATGATCCTCATTCCTTATTCAAGGTCTAATGTATCTTCAATATTCTTCATTAATTCACAGTCAACACACACAAAAAAATTTCCATCATCACCACACACACACACCCACACACACCCCCACACACACATTGCTTCTTTCTTCTGCATACCATAAGTCACAGTCAAATTTACCTATGCCATTAATGTGTAAGTTAATATGATTTCTAYCTTAACAACGCCGCCTTTATGTATCAATCTTTTTTCCCCACAATGCCCTTATGAAAATAAAATTTACATGCTATAAAATTCACCTATTTGAATGCTTGGAAAACTGACCCAGCTATCCCATTCCTCAGTCTATACCCCAAAGACTTAAAAACAGGATAACATAGGGACATACCCACTTCAATGTTTCTCAATGCTATAGYAGCACAATTAACAATAGCTAAACTGTGGAACAACCTAGATGCCCTTCAGTAGATGAATGGATAAAGACAATTTGGTATATATACACAATGGAATGCAATTCAGCATTAAAAGAGAATAAAATCATGGCATTTGCAGGTAAATGGATGGAGCTGGAGAATATAATGCTAAGTGAAATTAGCCAATACCCCCCAAAACAAATGCCAAATAATTTCTCTGATTTAAGGATGCTAATCCATAAGATGCTGTGGGGTGGGGGCATGGGAGGATTATATGAACTCTAGATAGGGCAAAGGGGAAAAGGAGAGGGAGGGAAAGAGAGGGGTCATAGGGATAGAAAAGACAGTGGAATGTGATGGTCATCATTACCCTAAGTACATGTATGAAGACATGAAGGATGTGACTCTACTTTATGTACAACTAGAGATATAAAAAATTATGCTCTATATGTGTAATATGAATTGTAATGCATTCTGTTGTCATATATAACAAATTAAAATTTTAAAAAATTAAAAAATTAATAAAAAATAAAACAGAAGAAAAAAAATTACTTATTTGAAACGTTTCATGAGTTTCAGTATATTTACATAGTTGCATAAACATCACCATTATCAAACTTCAGAAATTTTGTATGTTTCAAAAATATATTATTGTAAATCACACTCCATTTCCTTTATTTCTAGTTCCTGCTAACCATAAATATATTTATCTATAGATCACCTTGTTCTGGACATAAATAATTTCATACAGATAAGATCTTATGTGATTGCCTAGATTTATTTAACATGATCTATTTCAAATTTCACCTATGTAGTAACAGGCATTATTACTTCAGTTCTATTTATTGCTGAAAAATATACAAAACTTGTGTAACATAGCTCATTTTTTCCTCTCTTCATCATTTTTTTAATATTTAGCTTATTTCCACTTTTTGTGTTTTTTCATTTTTTTCTTGATTATATTTCTCTTCTCTATTTATGT